AGGTGAAGATATCTTGTCTGTAATCCATATAGGAAACTACCTGATATAGTTGGTGTCTGATAGGAGTCAGAGGACAGTTACGACGGTCTGTGTGGCGTGGGGGTGGTGGTGGTGGTGGTAAGTGTGTTCTTGATAGCTTCGCTGAGAAGAGGACTCTCTGGGTACAACCACAGGAGTTTCTTTTCTATGTCAGTACCTTCCCAGCAATTTCCAATCTCTCTCTCTCTTTTTTTTTTTTTTTTAACCAGGGTAGCCAAGTACTTCAAGACTTGAGTACAAAACCTGAGATGTTAAAATCAGATTTCAGAACATCTAAAATTCCCTGTGCAAAAATCAAGGTTTTTTGGCATGCATGGCCTGATTAACAGGCATGTCAGAATTAGGGGAATGACCAAAAGCTTTGTTCTGATTTCTTTTAATGCGTAGTTAGCACTTGTTATAACTGTGATGGATTGTCCCTGTTCCAAAGACAGCATGCCAGTTACATGTACAGGAATTAGTCCATTGGGGTTCTGAGTTGGTTGATACCTGTCCTCATCACCGTGAGAACAGTAGGTGAAAGAAAGCTTGTACTGCTTGCTTTTCAGGCTCTTTGCCAGTCTGAGAGGCAAATTCATGCCTCTCTATATTCTGAATCTTACCAAGAAGTGATGCTGAACCTTTCAACCTGGGACTTGAATAAAAATGAATTGACACCTCTGAAGACCTCTGAGATTTTCTTGGGCACAAACTGGAATGATTAAATGAAGAACACTATCAAAGCCATCTCTTGTGACAAGGAACCGAGTTTGACCCCTTTCTTCTCCTGTGGTAGTTATGTACAAACAGTTTTGTTTATAAGTGTCGAAAGGGAGGGGAGATCCAAAACGGGGAAAGTATTTCCTGTGTGTGACAGGCTGTTCTGCTTGGGTCATGGCAGAGATCGCGTGTTTCTCTTTGACCTGATTTTTGAGTCTCTGATCCAAGAATATGACACTCTCCTCTTCTTGTGGCATGTCTGGCTGTTGTATTCAGTGACACTTCCTTGGGAGCAAGAGGAACATATGCTTGTGTGTTGGAGTGTGAGACTTACTGGCTCCTATATCCTAAATGTGTCCTAACCTTTCCAGCGTTTCTAGCTCCATATTCCCAAATCGGTTAATCGCTCCTCTCCTGCTACCCCCAATTACCACTTCTTGGGCAGTCATTTGAGCATCTTAGGCTTGCATCTTTGCTGCTTCCTAAATGATGATTGCATATTGATGAGCTCCTGTAGCTTGCCTGACATGGATCAGGCAGTCTCCAAGGACAGCCAAGCATATGATCTGATTTAGCAAAGGCAGTGGCTAATAGTCAATATTTCTGTATTCTTCCCCCAGCGCTGACATGGATGTGCTGTCTCCTTCCCTGGGCCTGTCACAATGCAGTGTGTGGGTAAATGATGTGGGTCTCTTGCAGTGGAGCTGCAGGTCCTGGTAGTTTATTTCTCTGTGAAGTGCTTGGAAGCCTTCTGCTTAAAGGGACTGTGTATGCTGGGAAACAAAGAGGTCCGGGTTGTGACTCATCCTGACCTCTCCTCTTGCTGTGGTTTTTTGGTATATTTATGCCAGTGCTTGTGGCTTGGGTGGCATCCAAGGGGAAGGCTTTCCTAATCTCCTATCAGCCCTTTTTCTGCCTATTGTGTTTTCCACTCCTGTTCATTCTAAGGCTTCTTAGCAGGTATCTTTTTTTTTGTTCTCCTTTTTCCAGGTTTCCTTCTCTCCCCTAGCTTTTCAGTTATCAGAAACATGGTAATGCTTTGCTAAAGGAGTTTCTTTGTTCCCTTCCTGGAATAACAATCACAGAAGTTTGCACGATGCGATGTGCTGATATGTGTGACAACAGACCTTGGTGCCATGTGAGATGATTGAGGGAAAAATGGTGCTCTGAAGCCCAGAACAACATCTGAACAAGTTGGAACTAGCAAGCTGGGACTGCTTCACGTGCCTGTTATGTGCGATGCTGAACAGAGCTGCAAACATCAGGACTCTTCCAGGAAGTTCAGGGTGGGTGGTAGACTGTGACAGCTGAGCTCCATGTTTGTTATGCCCTAAGAAGTCCTTACTCTTTTGAGGATTAAAACTATAGCTACTTCCCTCATGTAGAACTGCTGCCAAGATTCCAGTCTGGCTCTAGCCACTCTCCACACTTCATAATGAAGTTTGAAAGAGCTTTAACATCTTGGTGTTGGCAGAAACACAGTTTTAAAATCACGGTGTGGTTGGAGACTAGCTGGCTCCAGCCACTGGTAATGGGATGGAGACTTTCATCTCAAGGTCAAATCCAAATGTGGTGTTAGGGACAAAGTCATGAACTTCTGACTGATGGTTCAGGGCTTAAGCATGGAAAGATGTCTTGAGTCCAGTGCCAAGACTGGAGTTGGGAGGCTCGGGTTCTGTTCTTATATGTTGCCAGAGCTGTTCTGAGGGACCCTCAGCAAGATGTTTAAAGCCTCCATGCGTTGGGTGCATCTGTGAAAAAGCACTGAAGGTCTACCTACATCAATGTGGGGCCAAGTCATCAAGCTCATTAGTGACTGCAAACTCCTGAATACCATTGGGTGCGGAAGTGCAAAGAATTAGGTAGGACAAGCTGGCTCTGTCCAGTCCTTATTAAACAAGTGACTGGATCGCAGTTGTCAGGATTAGCAGTAACTGGTGTGCTTTTTGGCAACTTGGAGGGTGAGGACGTAATGTTCCAGGGAGACCGCGTTACGTTCCATCACTGGGCGACGCTGTTCCAAGTGCAGGCTGCTGTGTGTTCAGGACAAAGCTTATGCAGCCTTCTTCTCTGGTGGCTATAGGAGAAGGTGGTCTCTGTGTTTGTCAGCTGGCATAATAACAAATTGCAGCTTATGGAGAAACTGGTTTCCCAAAGGCTGCTTTAAACAATACTGAGATGCTGCCTTCTTTCCAAGACATATGTGGGCAGCCTCTCCTGGCAAGCATATGTTACTACTCTTTGGAATAACATTGCCAATGTCTCTGCAGTGCTATCAGGTATGCACACCTGTGCCTGCTACCCTGTGGAGGGGTTTCAGGTTGGATTCATGCAATTTCTGGCTCTTTTTCGCCCATGTGCCCAGGCAGGCCTGGGGCAGTGCTGCAGGTGGTGCAGGCTGGGGCAGCACTCCGTCTCCTGGTGAGACTCAGCACTGCGGGAGGATGCTCTTCCCGGAGGAATCTGTGCGCTCCAGTGCTTGTATCTTGCATGATCTTGGGAGAGAAGCATAAAGCTGCAGCCTGCAACAGTGTAATCCGAAAGCTTCAGCCTTTCCCTGTGTGTGCCAAATTCCTTTGGCTGTTAAATAGGAGTAGGAATTTCGAGGGGAGCTTGTAGAGTACAACTTCTGTGTTTGCTTTCAACTTCATGAATAGCAGCCGTGATTTGTCTGGCTGTATACTGAAGAACTCTGATTTGTTGACTTTGAAAGATCAGTGGTTTAAAGCAAAAGCTGAGATTTATGCAGCTCAGCATCTTACTTTGATTTCAGAATCACTGTGGTGTCTTGCACAGGGCTGGTTGTGTCTGCAAATAGCTGTCTAGTCTCCAACAATACTTGTTTTTAATCTGGCCCCTGGGGATGCTTTGTGCTGTAGATGGAGCTAACAAATATGCCCTATGGAACCTGGACTGTGAAGAAGAATGTAACCCTATTCAGAGGGGGGAAACCGAGGCACAGGTTGACTAGTTGACTTGGACTGGAAAAAGAAAAGCTGGAAACCAGATCACTGATCTAGTGTTTTGTCATGATCTTTGCTTTGTCATGCTGAGGTGCCTCAGTGTGAAAGGTTCAATTGCCTCATGAGTGTAATTTTTGATGATAGAGGATAGAAATAGGTGATTTATAGATCAGCTATATTCCAATGGGAATATACAGGAAAGGAAAAGTTAATCTTTTGTCTAGAGGAATGCCAGTTGGGGATTGGGCAGCCAAATGCATGTATAGTCTTGGAGCTCTTCTATTTTGTGGAAAAGAGGATTTTTAACATGAGAGATTTGTAAAGGAGGGTAGGACATTTAAAGGAAGGAAGACAATGAGATAATTTTCTTGATGTTCATAGAAAATTCTCCCAAATTTGAGGGTAGCAAGCAAGAAAGCCGTGAAGAGGCTTTCTGAAGGCTTATTCTGGAGGCTGAGGGTAAGCTGTCTGGAGGTGGAAGTGAGAAGTACCAAGGGAAGATCCTTGGAAGAAAAGGCTGCTGTCTTATAGTGGAAAGGTATTGGAAAAGGAGGAGCCCAGAGAAGGTAAAATTTCAAGGGAGTCACATACTGGGCTGACAGTCCAAAGGTAACAAATCTGTGGCTCTAAGGTCTTGCTATGAGGAGAGCAGTAAGTTGTATGTGTGTGTGAGGGGGCTGTTTTTGTTTTTAGCGTCATAGTGCAGTGCAAAGGGTAGAAACAAGACTACTGAGAGCCTGGACCGTGTGCTGGAAGGGTGCTTCAGAGAACAAGTCTAAAACATTGCTTAATGCTCATAGAAGGAACAAGGAGATGGGTCAGTGGCTGTAGCAGCTAGTGGTCTGTTCCTGCTCTAATTGCTTTTCAATCTGTTGGGCAGTTTCCCCCGGATCTGAGAGGTGGGGAGCAGGAGAAGGGAAGAGATCTAAGAGAGAGGATATTTATGCAATTTTTGTGAAAATCGGTTGTTGGAAACTCTTAGTACCCAGTGAGCTAGAGGCTTATGCCAGTCTTTGTTAAACCTCTGCGCTTGCAATGACTTGGTAGCGATGAGCCCTCCGCACAGCATACTGGTGTGGTTTGGGGGAGAGCCAGAACAGTAAGAGGGTTTAAAGAGGGTGCAGAATCGGACCCACAGTGTGGTAAACACTTGCTCTGCCATTCTGTGTGTCTCTGCTCTGCAGCTGGGAGTAGCAGGGTGCTTTGGGGATAGTTGCAGGCCGGAGGATGTGTGATGAATTGGTAGCAACCCTGTCTTGGATAGGGAAGTGCAGCCTGCTGACTTCTTGTTTGTGTTAGTTACAGGACTCTTATCAGGCCCACGTACAAAATGTCCTACCGAACAGTGACCACGCTGGAGTGGAGGTGCTGTCCTGGCTTCACAGGGAGCAACTGCGAAGAGGGTAAGTTATGCAGAATGCCTCTGTCCTTACAGAGGCAAAAGGGGATGTGTGGATGGACTAGGTGGGCTGAGTGGGGTTTCATTCTTTAATTTGCTCTATGCCTTTCAAACACAAGAACAAATCACCTGTTCTCTTCATTCTCCATCGTAATCTGGATTCTCATGCATAGTCCTTCTCCTGAAGGCTAAGCTGCCAGAGGTGTTCTTGGGGAAACAGAGGATGCTAAATGCCTGCAAAGAAGCATAGTGGCAGGGGATGGGGGTGAGGGAAGCGTAATGAAGAAAAGGGTACTCAGAGGTGGCCTGTTTGTAGATGTCTGCCAGCGTAGAGTGTATTCATGTTTGGCATCCCCACTGCACAGTCCTTCAGAAAATGTACTTTCTCCCTGCCAATGTGTATCTTCTCCACATCCCACCCTCTGTTGTTGCAGCTGATGGCAGATGGCTGCCTGAATGGCTGCTAACAAGAGTTAGGCCTGTAAGGTTCAAACCCAAATATCTGTGTTCCCTGAGAACTTTGAATTAAATTAGGCACCTCCTGTTCTCCTTCCATCCCTCCTCCTGACTTATGGGTACAACAGTCAGGTTGCACCGTGCATATAACAACGGAGCTCTGAGTTTGGCATCTGATCTGTCACATGGAGGAAAACATAAGGCTTTTTCTAAAGCTGGAAGAAAGGAAAATCTTCTCCCTTTCTCATCATGATGGACAAAAAAGGAGTGTTTTGCGTTTTCCTTTGGGACGTTCTCTGGTTTAACTATTGTTTCTGAGGCTTAAAAACAAGTCCTGCTTCCCCATTGGATTTCAGGTTTAGGCACTGTGGCATGAGCCAAATAACTCTCATGAGTGTTCATGACCTGAGACAGAGACTGTAAGAGAAACAGAGCTTTGAGTTTGCTGATCATTCGCACAGGATCACTGCCGTCCACCTCAGCTGGCTAATAACAAGTCGTTGGGACTGATCACCATCTCAGAGATGCTGCAGTTCGTAGCTGCACCTCGGTTTCTTTGTGCTTACGTATATTGATGTTAATCACACAATTTGGGTGAATCTCTAACTAGAAAGTTTTCTTATTAAAGTCACAAAGAATGATGGTTCCAGACAGCAGCTCTCTTCAGGCTGCTGAGGAAACAGTAGCTTCTCAGAAGCTCAAGAATAGTTTTAAAAAGCAGCAAAGCTACCATAAATTACAGTCTGCAGGAGAGCGCTTTGGATTTTAGCAGGCTGCTAAAGGAAGTGAGCCTGGCAAAGAGAAGTTGTTGCATGTGGCTTGGCTTTTTACCTGTCAAGGTAGAGAAGCGGGGTAATAAGGATTATGTTGGAGCTGTTATTTCCAGAGTAGCTGTGGCTCAGCCTGGCTGAGGATCTGAATGGGGACCCGAGAAGCTTGTGTGCAGCCTCTTTGGGTCTGTAGGTTTGGACAGGTGTGAGTGATTACAGCTTAGCAGTGCTGCTGGTGAAAAGGAGAGAATCCAGCTCCCTCCCACAGTGCCAGATCCATCTCAGTGGAGTTCAGGGGAAATAAAAAGCCAGCATAAGCCTGTTTGAGAAAGTCAGCAAGGATCTCACAGGAGCAGGTCTGTGGAATGAGGTGACAATTTTACGCAGTCAGTTTTCAAGGTGGAACTGTGCTTTTGGGCTTGGATAGCGGCTGTGGAATGTGAGCAGAAAGCCAGTAGCAAGTCCTCACTTTCATGTGTGAGATTTTTTTAACCCCCCTCCCAACATCTGGAGCTACTGACAGCCCTGATTCCTTTAAAAAAAATAAAAAGTAATTAAAAAACCCCACTCCAACCAGAAAAGCACCCTCACCCTTCCCCCTTTTTTAGTAGAACAGAGACGTACCGTTTACTTTCTGATAGTGTGCACAGGACCTCAAGCTGTCTAGAAGCATCAGGTTTAAAATCAAAGCATTTATTTGCTGCTTACGTTAATCCTTACTGGTAGTGTCAGTTGAATCCTTACTGGTAGTGTCAGTTGGAATTGTGGGTAAAAGAAGCTGAAGAGATTTCTTTAGGGCTTTTTGGTACGTTTAGCAACCTGATAGAAAGCCTTTTGTACTCTTCCCTTTCTGTCCTCTCTCTTTCCATAACTTCTGTTCTAAGCTTACGTCTGTGTGGGTATTTCTTGCAAACAACAGACAAAAGAAAACAGAACTAAACTGAAACAAAACAAAAACAGTGCAATTATGAATTGCCACATCAAATTAGCAGGGGTAGAACCTCAAAATGCTTTCATGTTTTTCTTCTTTTTTGTATTAATTAGATTTCACCTCAATATTTAATTTCATTTGTCTGTGCAGCTGATGCTTTTGAAGTTAATGTGACGTAGGTATGATTGAAGGCAGATTGGGCCTTCATTATTTTTAACTTGCACGTGATGCAGATGCTTTAATTCTCGGACAGTTGCTGTTGTTGTTCTCCACTGTCTTCAAAATGGCAACTACGATAGTTCTGGGCTTCCGTTTTGTTTAAGGTTTCTCCTATTTCTAGTGACCAAAGGAAAATTAGCATTTTTTGCAGTTACCAAAGGAAAATTTCCTTTCCCAAAGAGTCTTGGAATAGCTAGAATTATATGTAATACATAGGACTGTGTATGCATGGGCACAACTTTGAGCTTCAGCTTGAGACTAGAGAGATCCTATCCATTGACTCCTGCTTTAATCCCCAATGAGGAGCGATGATATGTGTTCCTTTTGTGCTGTTCTTGAACAGTGCCTTTGAGGGAGCCACCATAGCTCATCTGGAAGATGAATTCATTTTTATTTTTTTAGCTGCCCTTTTTTGAGGCCTTCTTGCCTTTTTTCTGTGCTTTGTTTCATTTCGCCTTTTGTGGGGGAAGGTAGGATGATGGAGGGACAAATCAAGGAAACCAAGTCAAAGAACTTGGAATCATTCAAAGGCTCCAGTGCAATTATTTCCACCATGCATGCTTTCTTGTTATCTCCCAACTGGCAGTCAGCTTTTCAAAGCTGGGCAAAGAGCCCTAAAATATTGCAGACTCCTGATGTGACTGGTTTGCTGCAACATGCCCTCAATGAGAAATCTCCCCTTCCACAACAACACACTGCCGATAGAGCAAGCTGTTAAATGCAATTTAAGTATTACAGAGTGTCTTGACCCTTAGCTAATAAGTTTAGTTTGAGAAAGTAACCACTTAACTGTCACCACTTTGATACTGAAGGCTGCATGTTGTTTAGATTTAAATTATCTTGGGAATTTAACTCTTGGATTGCAGCTGACAAAGAGGAGCATCATCTGGAGGAAGCCTAGCTCTGAAAGTGGGTGGAGATTTTGCTCCTCACTTGGCTGTTGATTTACTGAGGTGGGGATGGCAGCTTCCAATCTGTTTCCTTTTTAAACTCAACACTGCTCGGGGTCCTCCCACCTTCCCTTCACTGCCTTCCCTTCAAACAAAGGCATGCCACCTTCTGAAAGGTCTCCAGTTCCTTTACTGTTGTTGTAGAACTGTGACCAGCTAGTTGAGTAGATGGTTAAAAATCACCAGTTGTATCGGGACTTTGTAAAGGGTTTCTTGCAACTTTCTTGGACAGAGAAAGAGATGTGATGCAAACACGTCTGGTGAATTTAACTGTCAGTAGATGCTAATTTTTATTTTTCGGTTTGGGGCTTTTTTTGTTTTGTTTAAACTGGAGCCCAAGCCTAGGACAGGAAATGAATCCACTGAGCCACCCAGTCTGCTGACTGCTGATATAAAGAACATATGGATAAGGGCAGTGCAGAGGTGAAGTGGTTTAGCTATTGCAATCATGCATCAAACTGATTGATTTGCATCCAAGATGATGCTGACATTTCAACTCAGCCTTTTTTCTATATGGCTGAAAGTTCAAAGGCATGTGAAATCTCTGGGGAGAGAGGAGAAGTGTCCCTAGCAAGTTCTGGGGCTCAGCACTGCTTTAGAGCTACCCAGCCAGGAAAGATCCTATTTTACTTTACAAATCTCACATAGACTTTTTTCTTGTTTGTTTGTATTGCTTGAATTTGGGACAGTAGCTGGTATCCTATTTACCCCAGAAGCAAATTGACAGGAGACAGCTTAACTCTTTGGGCAAGAAGCAGCTCCAGAGTAACTTTGTATCACTAAAGTAATGCCATTGTATCTGTGAGGCTTACTCTTTTCATTTTTTTGTTTGGAGATGCTGGGGGAAGTTGAGCATCCATCTTCAGAAATAGTTTAAGTTGAGAATTTGCCTTTTTCGCTTGTTTCAGTTCCTGGAATAATTTTTATCTACTTTTAATAACAACTATTTGTGTCCTATTGTCCTGATATTTTCAAACCTGTGCTAATCAAAGCAAAAACGTCCATTTGAACAGTGAAACCCTCGCAGAGGTTATCTCAGTGCTATCTGGCTGACAGGGCAGCTTTATGCCGCAAGCGCACTGTGAACAGAGGGACCTTCCTGTCAAGTTTAGATCTAGCTAATACAAACCAGCACAAATCCTTGCACAGGTATAGTTCTTTACTAGAAGCTGTTTCTGTAATTCCTTTCGTAAAATGTGATTGATTTTTTTTATTTTTATTTTTTGAAAAGAGGTCCAAAGTGAGAGCGAAATCCAACATTTGGTTCCACATAGCACACTTACTTCTAAGAAAGTTCATTCTAAACTTTGATTTGAAAATTTAATGTTTATTAGAAATTGTAGATGTTTCTTAAGTGAATACATGTTACAGATTGTTGTTTGGAGCCTGAACTTCCTAATAATTACCTTGTTAGTAAAGCAATTGGTGAGTAGGTAGTAAAAATGTGGTAACTAACTCTATGTAAACCTACCTTCAAAAAAAGTTTCATTAAAACCCATCAAAACCTTGGTAATCACCCTTGATGGAATTGTTAATGCATGAAAGCAGCTTTTCGAGTGTTGGGGTTTTTGTGTATATAGTCTATAGATGTTAGATAGTATCTGCTCTAATGTTTTTTTCCATAGCAGTGTTTTCTCAGTTCTTTCAAAAGTGTTATACCTCTGGCTGCTTGTGTTTC